CTGTGGAGGCATCCGATCTATTGAAGCAGTAAAGTCAGTGAATTTCTTTTGGCAAATAACATACATACATTGGATATCCAGAAAAATGCAGAAAGACTGCAAGTGGGGAATCTCAAAGATACTCTGTAGGTCCTGGAGATCTTCTTGTCCAAAAGGAGGCACTGTTTAATATGAATAAAAATATCATATAATACCCAGGAACACACACATTGCTTGTTATCCCCAATGAAGCACATCTTGCGCAAAGTTTTCTCATACTGAGTGATAACTATACTGTATCAGAACCATAGAACATAATGGTCAAGAACAGCATCACCTGGTATATAGTCCCCTAAATTAATGGCTTAGTGTCAATATAATCAACATAGGTAGTCAGCTTACCTATCTCTATTTGACTGGCTTCATCCACAATAATGGATCTTATTGGAATTGACTTGGTAAATTTGAAAAGAAATTTATTTGATAGCTTTCCATTGCAAAAAGAAAATCAGCTGGAGCTTCATATCACAGAAGCCAAAGATAAACATGCCATGCTTAGTGTGCAGAGAATCACTTGGCAACCATGAATCCGTTGACTGCCCATTTTAGAGAATTCATGTGAGGAGATGAACTTGTCTCGTATTTGGTCATAGAGATGGCCATGCCAGTCCTTGTGTGAGAACTCTGCAGATGCAAGAAGACGCCAATTGAGAAACCCAACTGATTGCAGCTAAAACAGTATTAGATACCAGTCAATCAATTAGAATGATATAGCAAAGTAAATTAATATTTGCATACCTTGAGTGCAATATTAATCACAGCAACATTGCTTTTGGCAACAAGCCAAATGCCTAATCAAATCTCATTATTTGGACTGTCAAGAATAAGATAACTTACCTTGGTAGTTCATTGAAACTGCAGCATTCACAAAGGTTGCAATGACTGAAGTTTTGCCAGTCCCTGGTGGACCTAGAACTTTGTAAACAACAAGAAAAAGTGCAAGCAGCACTTGGCTTGCCTTGGACTAAAACAATATGATGGTCATTCTTGTTAGAAAGCATGGCATCCACTGCATCTTGCTGGGATTGATTCAGATTTTTATGACGGCCAAGGTTGTCCACTGAGCAAAGGACAGGTGCCTCTTGAGCCCATTGATCAGGCCAAGTCAAAAGCCCTGGAGCAGAATCTGAAGATGGAAGCCAGATGTTTTTTGTCCATGGATTATTGCTGAAGAGATTGTGTTGGCCTTGAAGCATATGTAAAACTGTCAAGGCCCGTCTAGCTTCAGCAGTTGTAGGATCATCTCTCCCAATGCTATGGACAGTGAGAACCACTTTGGAATTGTCAAGGTGATCATATGAATTGGCCAGATTAGCTCTTCGGCCAACTACATTGCCAACCCTGTCACGATGAGTGTACACTGCTCCCTGGGCATTTTGTATCTTGAACTCCACATTCTGTTATGACATGAATAAACAGAAGACTGCCCAGTGATTGTATAGCAGACCTGTCCAGAGCGTATCCGATTTTTGAAGCCTTGAGACTGAAGGTCTGATCCCTCACTGTCCACAGATGGGGTCAACATAATAGAGTGCTTTGTATTCGAAGGCTTGCTGTGGCGTAGACGAAGTGTATCTTGAGTGAGTTTTGCAAGATGATTGAGAAACTGTAATCCAATTTGGTAAGCCAAAATCATCTTGTTTTGATTCTCAAAGCTCACTGGCAGCTCCAACATCTCTGTGTCAATTTTTGGTACCTTTGCAAATGCCTCCACACAATTGCCAACCATGGGAAGATATTGAGACAGCCATGCTCGACTGACCAGGTCTTGAGAGCAGTGTTTGTCTTCGCTGTCATACAAAGGATTTTGAAAAGCCTCCGTGATGTTCTCTGCAAAGACCTTCACAGTTTCCGTGCCCCCAACAGCGTCTTCGATCGCGCTAAGTGGTTTGCGATTGACAGATGAGAACGCAGACTGGATGTCGATGCCATTCTTGATGCGGAGGCCAACAGCGCAGTAAAGCGACATAGATAGCGGACCACAGTCGAAAGCACAGTTATCGCCACTAGCGCGACAGAGAACCAGTTTCTCGAGCAGTTTCCGACCGCTCGTGTCAACGGCAGCTCCAGCTTTCTGAGGTCCACGTCCGCTGCGATCGCCGCCACCGCCGCGTTTTTGCGTGATTCCCGATCTCGAAGCACTGCGATCGGAGATGAATGAGACAATGAGGCAGTATGTGTTATCCGCGATGGCCAGGGCAACAAGATCGCCCTCCTTGGAGTAGCCAGGCGCGATGCCGATGGGTTCTGTGAGCATGGTGACAGTGAGAGTTTTGTTCGATCGACGAAAGCGAGCAGAGCGCACCGGCATGGATGAAAACTTCTAGCACTTCCTTTGTCAACTCGGTCTCCTTCATGGACCTGACCTCCAGAGCGTAATCCTCCAGATCGATATCCAGCTCGAGCATGTTTTGCGCAAACTGCGCGCGTCAACGGCGTCAGTCTCACAGCGAAGTGTAAGAGACTGACAGGACACACCTTTTCTTGCCTCATTTCGAACAATATCCAAAGCCACAAATGCGAATGAGATAGTGGACAGGGCCAGGGATTGATGTGCTTGCCACGGTCACGAGGTGAGGTCATCGAGAGGACGGGGCATCGGTTTTCACCATCTATGAAGCGTTGTCCAAGGCTCATGGTACACTCTACACGGTAAGGTGACTATTCTAATTTTTATACAGTCCATACATTGTTCTACATCCTGTTGCCAGGCCAAGATGGCCGATCGACGAGCACAAATCTCAGCTGGAACAGATGTTAGGATACATTCGATCCGTCGGATCTTGAGGAATCCAGCCCCCTTCCAATCCTTTCTGATAACTGAACCACCGTCAGTTGAGGATATCACGTTAAGATTCAAGACGGACCTCCAGTCGTCAGCATTCTCTGCCTGGAGCAGATGTTCAGTCGATGTACACCGAGAATAGGATAACGAGTCATCCACCTTCCATGCCCAATACACCCATCCTTGGACTCCTTCGCCCATCATGGTCTGAACTTCCCAATATCTCGAGAGAATGAGAACAATGATGTAAAACAATGCACCAGCTAGCACTCACTGCCTCAGGAACGTTTTATACTGAGCGGAAAACGTGTGGTAGTCGCCGGACCATCCGTCACAGCTTCCGAAGGGCGTGTTCGGTGTGTACCAAGTTCCGTCCCATCGAGCACCGATATTTCGACCGTTTAACCATACGGCGCAGTCTGTCACTGCCGTGGACCACTCTCCGACTATGGCCCAGATGTTATTGCGCGCAAATGCGTCGATGTCGGCCATGCTGGAGCACGTGAATTGAATATGCTCGCTGAAATTGCGACTCAGTTCCGGAACACTGAATAGTTGGTATTCGTGATAGTCCATGATAACTCCTTGGGCGCCTGATGATAAGAGTTCAGCAATCCGCGAGCCTTGTAGCAAATGTCACTTACTCGGGTATGTCATGAAGTTGGTCCAGGCCTTTTCGTGTTAAGCTACAAGAATCATAGAAGAATGGCACTCACATCTACTCCCATGAATCCGTCACCAATCATCACGCGAATATCTGGTCCGACTGCGGCTCTCACTGCATCGTATCCATCTTGCCAGAATTGTCGTAATGTGTCTGGATATGTCGAGGGGTAGAGAAATGTGGCAGGCTCGTTTAGTAGCTCAATGACATCGATCAAGCCACCAACGTGCTTCACAATGTACGTGAGCGTGTCCACCGTTCGAGTGATATTAGCTGGAGTAATAGCCCACTGCGAATTAGATGTCCGCTGCCCAGAGTTATCGAAGCCATTTTGAGAACCTGGCGCGCCATGCAGATCGAGAATAACGCGAATTCCATGCTTTTTGGCCCAGTTCAAGGCGGTGAGAAGGTACGGCCATGCGCCAGAAATGTAGGGTGTAGGTGATGTGTTCTCGTTGGTATCATCAGAGGTCATGGGCACAGACCAGTAGCCGAGTGGGATTCTATGACTTGGCTCAGACACGCGGACGAGGTGTGAACAAATATAGAGACAAACCGGACGTGATTCAGGCCGGCAGCAGCTATTGCGATGAAGTCTGCTTCTGTTATCCACTGAAAGAACCGTCATCCGCGATATAAGTCCGGAAACAAGAAACACGCACCGTCTCCCAATGCTTTGTCAACGTAGTCAACGCCGTCTTTGGGTCCTGCATGCTTCCGAACGTGAATTCGTCGATAATGTTCGCGTTCCCGGTGTTGTTGAATATGCTGGGTGTGATCCATGGCTCCAGAACGAACCAGCCCCCTCTACACGGACGACCGTAAGTGAGAATGTTCGCAGTCCCTTGCACGAGGCATCCGTGAGACGCACAGGTTTACCCCACGAATAGGTGTTGTGCCATATGCGAATGGTGTTGACGTTGGAGACGCTGATGCGCTGGAGGACGCGGTCCTCGTGCTTGGTACACTCGTTGGAAGAGGACTACGTGGATTCTACGGTTACCGATAATGTAAAACGCCAGGACAGATGAACACACGTCGATGCGGCAGGCGTGTTTGTGCTTCCCAGCAGTGAGGTACTGCCACCGAATGGACTTGACAAAATATTTGAATGGAGCTTCAACTGGCACTGCTGTCCAGCTGATGCAAAATCGGCCAAGAATATTTCGCAAAGAAGTAGACTCAAAGGGAGACCCCACATGATGGATTGAGGACAGAGTGTTAAATTAACCTTGCGATTGCCGAGCGTTCCTTCGTCATGCCATGGCTTATAGTGCGTAGGCAGATGCTTAGTCAGGCCGGGGACTCAGGTCCGAAATAAACCGGGGACTAGTAGTATACATGGGTGCATAAATGAGTCTTGCAGGTAATCGTGACCGACTAATCAGTGCTCAATGCTCAATGAGTTTGACGACGTGCTCAGATCAAATGTGCGGTACGACCGGATTCGCTCGAACTGCTTGCAAAATGCCTGGGGTCTGGATGGGCGCACCGTGACGCTTCCCAAGGAGATTTGAGAGGACAAGAAGGGTGATTGCTTATTTCATGGCAAGTATTCTACCGGCATTTGCTTACATTCATGCTCTGGTCGAGAGACGATTCCTCTATAGTTTCGGGCTATCTCCCGTTTTCTGCATGTGAGCCTTGGAGGCATGCTCGTAGTCTTCGAACCCCAGCGACTTCTGGACTTGGTCCTCGGTGGCATCCGGCTCCAGGTGGCCTTGTTGATTCCGTCTGGCTCTGAAGGATATGTTATTGTACAGAATCGGGACTGACTGCCATAGGATCCTCACCGGAAGAAAGTGTACGACAGCACGACATTATCCACGTTGCGGCAGGAGGGGTCTTCAAGAATGTCTTTGTCTATGAAGAAGAGAAGTGGCATGTCCACCTCTTCACCAGCAAGCAATTTCTGTTCCTCGAAACAAAAGCACTCTACTTTCGAGAAATACGGCGCGACCTGAAGTGTTTTCAGTTCTGCGAAGAAAACTATTTTAAGTGGACCACACACCCTGTCTGGCGTGACATTATATGTGGCAATGCCAATGATGTCCTTGTCCGACGTGTTTTTGGCAGTATAGAAGGCCAGACTCGTCTCGCCAGGCAACACGTTCACGAATCGTTGCTGCGGAGTGAATGTCCAAGGAAGTGCCTCCGCGCGGTCTGCGTTGAAGTGGACCTTGATCCGGCCGACGTTTTCAACGGGGACCAGCCGTTCAGCCTCGAAACGCCCAGTACCGACGTTGGGCGTCCCCGCGAAGCCTGTCGCGGCACAGAACATTCGGTAGAGAGGAACAGCTGCGTATGTCACACCCAGAGTCGCAATTATCTGAGCAACGTCAATGCAGGTGCAGAAAGTAGATCCGCAAAGAGGCGCACAACCGCGCTGCTATACATGAGCAGATTTCTGTTTCGCTCCTTGTGTACTTCGGCTCTACTTTTGAATTTCAGGCCAAGCCGAGGCGTTTGGCTTGAGAAGTATCGGTTCCATGAAATGGGACAAATCGGTGTGGGGGACCTGCGGAAGCATGGCGCCGTTCGTGGAAGTAGGCGGCAAGACAACATTTCGGAGTTTGCCGATCACACTTGAAAGCTCCCACCACCTAACCGCACATGTCTTCAGGACCTTCTAAATCCATCCCTTCGGCGTCCTCTGGCAAGACCTTAGAGGATATCGATAAGCTTCTCAGTCGCGAGTCTAATGCACTGAACCGGGAGCTCGAGGTTGAACGTATCCTCAAGGCTTTCAAACTGAAGTGATTCTGCTACTGGTCAAGCATTGGCTCATTTCTAATGGGATCTTTGCAGTCCGTATGATATCCTGGACATAGATGAATCTTCTACTACTGAAGAGATCAAGAAACGATACAAGCAACTCTCGCTGAGTGAGCAGTGTCCCTGTTCAACATGAGGAGTCTGCCTACCCATCCCATAGTCATTCACCCCGATAAGACACCTCATCCTCGTGCACCGGAGGCTTTCGACATTCTCAAGAAAGTCAGTGCACGCCTCGACTCTCCAGATTGTTACCAATTGCTCTCAGGCCGAGTCCGAGCTTTCTGAAGAGACGAAACGAGAGAATCTAGATGCCGTGATCCTCCAGGCCAAAAATCTCATTCTCAAAGACCTTTCGCTACCGGTGTCGACTCTGAGCACAGACTACGCGCTTCGCGGTTTAGAGCCCAGCTTCAAGACGCGCTTGCGGCAGAAGTCAAAGGACCTACTTATCGAGGAGGAGCTTCGACGGCGCAAGTGAGTCGATCTTATTTACGGCATCGAATCTCCAACATCTCCGATTATAGAGCTATCAAAATGAATCTTGCCAATGAAGGGCTGGAGGCGAGAATGAAGGAACAAGAGGTCGAGACCAAGAAGCGTAAAGCAGAGGATGATAAGACATGGGAATGTGAGTGTTTCTCTATCTGGGTCTTTACTCTTTTCAAATCTTTTTGTCAGCGAATCGAGAGGAACGAGTTGGTAGCTGGCGTAATTTCGCTAATGGCGGGAACAAGAAGAAAAAGAAGAACAAACCCACTCTTCTGGGATGAACGGTGTTGTTCACGATTAACCCGTTGTAAAGTGTATTCATTTCTATTCCTTGTCATCATACATATTTTGTTATCTAGCTCGCGACCATCGGCCTGCTCACAGTCAGTCGTCCGATATATCGATAACATTCTCGAACAGTCGGCGTCGAACATGTCGTTGAGGGGCGGGCACGTTTTCCTTGTCATCCATTTCTTCGTCGTCATCGATTGTGATGACCTCTCTCGGCGCAGATTGAGAATTGCGCTCTATGTGATCCAGCACTTGGATCGTCTCCGCATCTATCATATCCATTTCGCCATAGTCGGATGATGCAGCATCTTCCAGCGGCGGCGGTTGCGACAATCCTTTGTTCTTTGAGCGCAACTCTACAGTCGGTCGAGCATCGACGCCGGAAGTCCCTAAAGGTAGATTTCGACTGTCCTCGTCGTCCGAGATGTCAATTTCGATGGGCGCGCTGCGAGTCGGGGAGAGAGCAAGACCCATTCTAGGGCTTGCGGCGGGGACAGCGCCTGCAGCACTTCCGCTAGAGGGGAAGTACGGAGAAGTAACGATAGTCGAGGACGACGAAACTGACGGGGGCGGACCGGGTACTCGCCGCCTTCTGGGCTGTTCTTCGTCGTCCGAATGATTATGCAAGCCAGCAGCCGGAGGCGAAGGTGGCTGCGATATCTCGCGAAGTGGAGATCGCATTTCCTGGGGTGCCGGTGCTTGAGACACTTCAGGTTGGGGCTCCAGGTTTCTGCACACGAGTCTCAAAGTAGGAAAGAATTGTAGCAGTAAAACACACCCTAATCTGTGCCTCAATCCACGGGCGAAGTCTGTAGACTGCTGGACTTCACGATCCTCAGTCTTCTGCCCCTTGAACTCGACACAAGACGGTTCAAGAAAGGCCATTCCTCGTCTCATCAGTACATTCTTCAATATCAACTTTCCCTGCGTCAATGCCCGTAACGTGGAACGTACAATTCAAGACCTACTTTATATCCCAGTGGTGTGACTCCAAGGTTCAGCTCAGGCAGAGGTCGATACTCAAAGGCAGACACCTTCGAAGCACCATCACTCAGCTCAAATCTGAGCATACTACGCGGATAATTAGGCACAGCGCCTTCTCCGTCAACTTCTAAATCCACTTCGTCGTCTCCTTCAATTTCCCCGGCTGCAAGCCGTTCATCTCTAACCACGCGGACCTGATCCAGCGCCAGGGCGCTGGCTCCGACCTCGGTGATCGCGACGATTTCGACCAGCACGGGCCCGCGAAGAGTCCCCGATACTGCTGTAAGGAGGGACAACGGAATCCCCGTTCCGTGACACATGGAATCGCATAGATCGGATTGGAGCAGTTGCGCCTCGACGTTCTGAATAATGGATGCCATGTGGGTGGCAGGATCGAGCTCGTGTTCTGTTATGACCCAGTTATAACAAGCGTCGAGCCACTCGGGATCCACTTGAGGAGATGGATAGTGTTCCCGAAGCCAGCTTATTAGACGAGGAGGAATAGCGCTCATGTGGAGCAGTGAAAGACGTCGCGATGAGAGCTCTCAGTGAGCCCTGGGCGCGTCACGACAATGAATGAACAAAGAACGTTGTGCACGTGTTCGTGTGTAGATAAGATCATCTGATCTACTCACGTGAAATTCCATCCATGCCAAGCTTCTGTCAACAAACGCGTCGCATTACGGACAGCGATGTACACGTCCTCAGCCGCTCAGAAAGCCAAACGACGCGCTCATTCACGGCCTGAGCTGACGGACGAGCAGAAGCAGGAGATAAAGGAAGCGTTCGAACTTTTCGACACAGATAAGGACGGCGCGATCGACTACCACGAGCTCAAAGTTGCCATGCGTGCGCTGGGTTTCGACCTCAAGAAAGCGGAGGTCCTCAAAATACTACGAGATCATGACAAAACGGGCCATGGACTGATGGACTTTGACGACTTCGCCAAGATAAGTGGGTGACTCGACTAAATGGTGCCATTCAGAACTCTCAAATTGATGGGCAGTGAGTGAAAGGATCCTCGCACGGGATCCAGCGGATGAGATACGACGCGCCTTCGCCTTGTTTGATGAGGAGGGAAATGGGAAGATCTCTCTGAAGAATCTACGTCGCGTCGCGAGAGAGATTGGAGATCGACTGGAGGACGAGGAGTTGTGAGCTGTTTTCAAGTTTAAGCTTCCAGGCTGCTGACGCCGTTCTGGAATACACAGACAAGCTATGATAGACGAGTTTGACCTCGACCAGGATGGAGAGATCAATGAGCAGGAGTTTTTTGCTATTATGACTGACGACACTTGAGGTGTGTGATGTACAACTGGCCGCTGTGTTGCTGAATTTCATCGACAAGGACTTTCTCCTTCGCTATAATTCATCGTTGTATCACCTATGTATATTGTACCGACCACCACCCTCTTTGAACACCGGCGACTACCTGCGCAAGAACCCGAAAGCATGGTTTGAACTCTCCCTGATCGTACACGCATCCAGGTATATTTGATGATCACAGCCGCAATACGAATTGTGTTCGAGACTTGGGCGAACGTCGTCTTCGGATTCCTTCCTCTACCCACTTAGAATTTCCAGGAACCATTGCACCACTGTCGTCTCGTCTTAAACACTCACATGTGAGTGAAGCGTACTTGGGATGAGAGAAGTTGAGTAAGAGCAGGATTGTGATAGATATACACAGAAATCATGCAACGTCTAGCGCAGCGCAGGATGCAAGCGTACTACCGCCAGGCCTGGTGTCCCAGCGTGATAGCTAATTGTCCGACAAGCGAGTTTCGAGCGACTCCTTCGATGAAGCCACGGTTGGCACAGACAACGAGGCCCCTCTTGCATCGAGTCAGCATGACATTAACACGCCGCGGCTCAGCCAGGAACCCGATTCTCTCAGTGCGCACAACAGAGAGAATGATGTAATCGTCTTCATTTCCTGCGTAGACCCATTCAGCAAGAGGTTGCACGTCGGAAAAAGATTCGAACCTTGGAACGAGTCTACGCAGAAAACCTTGTCTTCCCAAGGTATCTTGGCCGCTTTCAGCTCAGACTCGAGAAGTCCCCTTTGTGCATCATAAGGGGTGATCAGTCGGTACGACTTGCCTTGGTTATAGCAAGTAGTGGCTTCCTCGATGACTCGCCGTGTTTCTGCAGCGTTCTAATGAGAAGAGGGGGAGTGAGTGAAGGAAGGACAAGCAAGAAGATGCCTACGATCCAGCTCGAGCCTTGCTTCTCCTCCCTTCCCTTTGAAACATCAAGAAACCGACAGCACGGTGAATCGATGGAGTGGATGGTCTTGAGTTTACTGCCATACACAGATTTACTGATGAAAGTCCCCAGTTGTCTTGGCATCCTGGTATCGAGGAATGTGAAGATGCTGGGTGGCACTGCTGGGTGGCGATTTAGCTTACCGGTCTGTGTCATACAGTGAGATTGAGCACTCGCTGTCTAAGAGCAATGAGTTACGCACATTGAGTGTCCAAGAACACGGCATTCTCTCGAAGATGCTCTCGCTCAAAAACGCTCTGCAGACCGGTGACTTCGCTCTGCCCGTAGGGAGCAACTGCTTCGTGTGAACATAAGGGACGATGAGATGAGAACACCCACGCTGTTTGTTGTCCCCGATAAACACCAATTTGCGCAGGGAGTCCGAGTACGTGGATATCATGGGAAGATATGCACCCACTTCGACCTGACTGGCTTCGTCGACGATGACAGTCTGTAGGGGAACCATCCGGGTGATGGGAGCGATCCGAAAGTTCTGTGTTGTGATCAGGTACATGCACTCCAAAATGATTGTCCCACTCACGGAAAGCATGCTCAGAGTGCAAAGAATCACCTTCGAGTCCAATATGAGTCTTTCCATGGCCACAATATCGTCGTTGAGTTCATCGGATCTGATCAGGTTTGGTGCGACCTTGTTGTAGAGATGCTCGTGCCTAGAGAACATGAGATTAGAGAGAAATCCGGAAGGACAGCTTAGCTTACCAATCGTAATGGAAATCTGGCATTGACCGTAAGCCCGCGGAGATCAAGAACTGCAGAGTTAACACACCTCGAGACACGATGAGTTTGAACTTTAGAAAATCGACTGCAGCGAGCTTCTCTGCGATGTTCTTGACTGCGACATTGCTCTGTGCAACAAGCCACACGTAGCGTTCTTCTCTGGCCCTTGGATCCGCGCGGATGCTGGTGACCACCGCGGCGATGACCGTAGTTTTACCCGTGCCCGGGGGTCCATGTATCACACTCACAGGCTTATCGGACAAAATGTCCATGACAGCCAATTCCTGGGACAAATTGAGTGGGCGCGGATACTCTACATCCGTGCCCAACCGAGAGGAAACAGGTCCCAGGGGCCAATCCGGTGCCTCGCGTGGTAACCAAATCGCCTGGAAGAACGGCCGGTCTGCGATAGACGATTGCCGCTGCAACGCTTTGACGATGATGTTGACGCGCTGGGTCTCTGCACTGTTCAGCGCGTCCTTACCCACGGTGTTCACGGTGATGACGCCGGGGAGTAACGGGCCGTTCAGACTGATTTCAACGGCTCGACCGTCCACTCGCTGGACTTTACCAGAGAGGAAAGCCTCTTGTCCCTCCGTGGTGATGATAATGCTCTGTGGGTATTTAAGCGTGCAGTGTATACTAGCATCGGGCACGTGGCTCACCTGCTCTGGACCGCTATCTCGAACCCGCGTCTTGAAACGAGTAGAAGTGACTTGAAGTTTTCCTTTGTCGTAGCTGTAATCGCTCGCTATCTCGTTTCGGACAGTGTTGGGCTTGGTTTCTTCTAAAAGACGTGCATCGCGGACTAGTTTGGCAAATGCGTCTAGGCGCTGGTGAGGTACAGATCAGTGTCGTTCCCGTCAGATCTGGCGATGGACACTTGCATGCTCGTTCATGGCGCTTGTTTCGATCCGGGGTGCACTCAACAAACTTGCACCTCCGATCGTGTGCGTACAGCCGGCAGCCCAGGCCTGCAACGCGTTCTGCTTCACCGTCGTGCCCCCAACGTGTTCCTCTCCCTGAAACAAAGCCGCCACATCATCTTTGAACAGCCCGGCCTCCCCACCCAGCACGTTGAATATAGCTGCACGTGAACGCCGACTCGCGCCTTGCGACAGGACATCTAGCAGGTCTACGCCATTGCAGAGTCGCATGCCGAGGTCGAGATACAGAGAAGTGACCAAGATGTCCATCTGGAAGGCATACTTTGTGAGATTGAGCGAGAGCAGGATCTCGGTGAGAAGCTCCCGCCCGCGTCTCCGCTTCGCTTTACCACCTCCGTTGCTGTTTTTGATGCCAGTCGCCTGTGGACCGAGTTTCACGACGAGAACTTTGTCCGAAGAGGCAAGCGCAAGCGTAGTGAGGACACACTTGGCGCCATAGACCGGTGCGACGCCGATGCCACCCATACCCGTGATACTCCCCAGACAGTCGGTAATGACATTGCGCGTGAGAGCGGCGAGATGGACGACCTTCACGGTGATATTTGTCGATGGGAAAGGTGGTCGGAAGATGTCCTGTGCCACGGTAAACGAGGATGCGTCGGACATGAGCAGTGGGGGGTAGGTCGGTCTTGTGGCCTCTTTAAGGGATCCAAGTGGACGATTGCTCTACAGATAGACGCTCGTGGACATCTTTGACACAGAACGGGACTGCCTCGTGAAAGCTTGAAGCGTAAGAGCCCTGGAGAGCAACCGCTGGCGTGACAGATTGTGGGCGATCAACTCGTTCCTTCAACGACAATAACTGAGCATCAAGCCGGGCGCTTGAATGAGCATTGACTATCCCACATACGCGACATGTGGTTCCAGAAGCTTGCAGCATATACTTACACATATTGTACAGAATCGGGATTCCAGTCGGCCAAGGGCGCTAAAAGAACCACGGTAAATGTCGTTGACGCCACACGACTGGCCCAGGGCTGTGATTTCATCTCGGCTCACGCAGCAACGGAGGTTCGCCTCCACCGTCTATGGTAGATTCGGTCGAGTCTCCTCCAAATATTCAAAGCCACCTACTAGCAGCGACAGCGCGAGAAAGTCAACGCTTTTGAACAATTACTACGAGGAAAACTAGAATATGATTGAATAGTGCGTTTGACGCGATCACATGCTCTACGATTCGTACCATCCCTCCTCCCCAACACTGAGCGCCAGTTTCCCGATCAGCGTGTCAGCGGCGACACCCTCCACGAAGGAACGGCTGGTGCAGATCCGCATTTCTTGCTTGCACCGACTCAACATGACATTGACTCGTCTCGACTCTTTCAGGAATCCAATCTTTTCTGTGCGGACGATCGAGAGAATAATGACGTCGTCCTCGTTTCCTGCGAGCCCTTCGTTCAGGACATGAGATGTGCAGTTGATTGTCAATGGCTTGCCTTGGAACGAATCGACACAAAATACTTTGTCTTCCCACGGCAATCCGTTGCTCGATTTGAGCACTTGTTCGATCATGGCCCGTTGCGCGTCGTAGGGAGTGATGATCCGATATGATTGTCCCATGAAATGGCATCGACGTGCTTGTGCGATGACAGCTTTGACTTCAGATCGGTTCTTCAAAAGACTGAATTGATTCATCTAGAGGACGAAGAGATCAATCTCACAATCCAGCCATGCCCTTTAAATTCTTCTTTGCAGCCTGGGACGTCGATGAAAGGCAACAATTGTCGGTTTTCTTGTGAGAGCTTTGCAATTTGTTGAAATAGACGTGTTGACTGATGAACGATCCGAGCCTGATAGGCATACTACAGCGGCAAAGAGTGAGTTTCATGCGATAATCAGGATAAGGCATTGACCGGTCTATTGGTTTGTGAACAACAGCTAGATTGTCTAGAGCAAAGACGTACATTGAGTGTCAAGGAAGACGGCTTTCTTCCGCAAATGCTTCAGCTCATAGACACTCTGAAGCGACGGAATGTCACTGTGACCGTAGGGCGGAACTGGAAAGCATCATTAGTACGGTGGGAGAAAAAAGTGCAAATCATACGCTGTTTATCATCCCCAATGAAAACCAGTTTGGTCAGAGACCGGGAGAGAGAATGGACCAGAGGAACATAGTTGCCAATCTCAATCTTGACAAGGGTGAGAACATGAATGCCAGTAGGATGGTCCCGAACCTGACTAGCTTCGTCCACGATGACAGTGTTCACCGGAACTATGCGATAGACGTTGGAAAGACGATCGCTAGTCAGCATGCTGATTGTACACAGAATGGTTTTGGTTCCCAGAAGCATTCGTTCGACTGCTACGATGTCCTGTGAAATCTCGTCACTTCTGATGACATTCGGTGCAATTTTCTCGTAGAGGTGTTCGTGCCAGTCGAAGTGAAATTCTGGGTCGTCTCAACACCAGTTCGGATCGCAAAAAGAGACTCACCCTTCGACACGATGATCTTGAAATCGAGGTGCCCCACAGAAGCCAACTTTTCAGCGATGTTCTTCACTGCGACATTACTCTGTGCGACAAGCCACAGAGACCTGCCACAGGCGGCGCTGCTGATACTCGTGACAACCGCCGCGATGACAGTTGTCTTCCCGGTTCCCGGTGGTCCCTGAATCAGCGTCACAGGCTGGGGCGAGAGGATCTCTTCAACTGCACGCTGCTGAGAAGGATTCAGCGGACGGGAAAACTTGATCGGGATCGCGGTGGTCGGTTTCTTAAGAGAGCCCGCTTGCTTTGAGCGCACTTCAAAGCTGTCTTTCGCCGACCAGATCATCTGGAAAAACGGCTTGCTAGTGAGGTCGGAGGCTCCTTTCAAAGCCGAAAGAATGGCAGCTTCTCGTTGAACCTCTGCGCCAGTCGATGGAACCTTGCCAAGCGTGCGTACTCGAATCCGTTTCGCGTGGAGCAGGTCGTTCCCTTTGAGCTGGACTTTGAAGGCCCGCCCTCGGATATCATTCACTCTTCCCGTCGCCGCACGGATCTCTTTCCCTTCTTTGTCGAATCCTGTGATAAGTAACTGAGAGGAAGAGTATATGCTCCATCAATGTACATGTGTAGAAACCACTTTCGTACCGCAGTATTTCGGCCTTGAACTCGGGTCTTGAAGCGAGATGAAGTTCCTTGCAATTCGCCTTGCTTAAAGGTGAATTTCTGAGTTACTTCGTTCCGAGTCACATCCGGCTTCAGCGCGTCCAGACAGCAAGCATCGCGCACGATTTTGGATAATGCCGCCAGGTGCTACGCGTGATCAGTCCAGATGACGGGGCAGCAGCAAGAGACCGACGATTTCAGACATGAGCGTGGAGTCGATACGCTGCTGAGCCGAGAACGACTTCGCGTTTGATAAACGTGCCACAGCGCGCCAAGCCACCCAAGCTTGGAGAGCCAGTCTATCAGCCAGTGGCCTCTCGGTGTCTTTTCGAGAGCAAACAGAAATGAGGGCGTCTTTCTTCAGGCCGTGTCCCACAGAAGAAATGAGTGCTTCGTTTGAATGCCGATCATCCTTGACAGAAATGCTGAGCAGATCGAGGCCACCCACGATGCGCATGCCCAGATCCAGATAAAGCGCAGTGGCCAACACATCCATCTGCAGCGCCGCCTTTTCGTGTGCTGTGGAAAGAAACACCTCGGCAAGGGGCCCGCTCTGGATGGAGCTCTTGTGTCTTTCTCGACTCGACCGCTTCTTCCCGATGTACACGAGGAGAACGTCCGTCTTCGAAGATAAGGCCAAGGTGGACAGTCCCGACGCAGAACCGTAGTAAGGAGCAATTCCGATTATGCCATCGGTAGCCGTGGCCAAAAATGTCCGGACGAGCTGCGGCGTAAGTTGACTGCCGTGTTGAGCAATGACGCGAAGCGGCGCATCGCCGGGGGCACCGAAGATATTCTGCACCGTAGTGGACGACATCGTAGAGAGAAAGAGAGAGAATAAAGTGGCAGAAAGACCACCGACTGAAAGAAAACGGAACGAGGCGACGGGGAATACGTGGTTAGACGCCCATAAGGTAAAAGGACAATGCCATTCTGTGCATGGCACAATCGAGGCCCTACATTGACAAAAGAAGACAGGATTAGCTGTAAAGGGACGCGCGGGTGACAATCTAGCTTTGAGATGAAACTCAGGAAGGTGTCCCGAGGAGAAACATCCGCGTCGGCACAGTCGCGGTGGGTACTGGAATGGCTCCGATCAGTGCACGTGACCGAGAAATTCTCTCTTCCGTCACCGAGTCCGCATTCGGTCCTTGGCTTACTCCCACCCCCCTTTTGCATCTCCATCCCACATCTACTATGGCCACCGCAGCCGCTATCGGTGTTGGTGCACTTGCAGCAGCTCTCACAGGTCGGCACCTCATGAAGCGTGGCTTCCTCGGCGGCAAGAATGCCGCAGACCAATGGGTCAAGGGCGGCTTCCGTGCCAAAATGGACAGAAAAGAGGCGGTCGCAATCTTGGGACTCAAGTACGCACTGTTTCTCGTGGCCAATAGAAAGAGACCTGACCTTCGAGTGTTCGGCGCAGAGACGGCCCAACGTTGCGGAATAAAATCAAAGACGCTCACCGAACCATCATGCTCGCGAACCACCCTGACAGAGGCGGGTCGCCGTACCTAGCCAGCAAGATCAATGAGGCGAAAGACTTGTTGGACCGTGAGGTGTCTAAGAGATAGTGCCCCGTGCCAGCCCGTGTATCATACCTATCTTTAGGTCCGTTCTCCCTCTCACATTCGTCAATCGTGCATTGAAAACAACACTCCAGCTTACCGCCGTGTATTTGTATAATGATCATCACCTCTCTGCTCCCGACTCAAATGCTACGGATACATTGCTAGTAGTACATAGACTAAATGTTACAGATCACCGGATGGACAACCGCCCTCCGAATTTCTTGCGCGCGACGACGTCGAGTCGTTCTTTGACGTCCCGGAACGCTTTCCACCAGGCCTCGCCCACAGCAGCGGCCTCGTCCACTGCATCATCGAGTAAATCCTCGTTCACTTCATAATCCTGCCAATATCGTCGCAGCAACACTGCCCACCATTTCATGACCGAGACGGCCCGCTCGACACCGATATCAGTTGACACCTTGCTGTCCACTGAGCTGACCAAAAACTCGGCCAATCGGTTCACGTCTTTCTCCTCCGGCGAGAACCTCTTGAACGCGTCGATCCACGCCCCGAGCAAGTCTTGAACATCATCCTTCTCGGAGAAGAACGGCTTTTGACCCTTAGGGCCGGGTCTCCGTATTTTCGGAGGTTCAGGATACTTCGCAAACGGGGGAGGCTGCCTGAAAAGATCCGGCGGCGGTAAAAACTTGCGGGGTTTATGCACTTTGTGCGTGTCATCCACCTCTGGCACTGCCCCGTACTTTTTGACCATCCGTGCGAGAGCTAGCTGCTCGCGTTTGACATTGCGCGGAAGGGCTGCGAACGTTTCTGGATCAATGCCCAGTGCCTTCAAATCCGTATCTGTTGGCCGCAAGAAAGGATTTGCTGGGCGATTGGGGTGGATGGTGTTCTTGTCAATAACATAGCCGCTGCCACCTCCGTTTGGGAGTCGCAGCGCGTTCTGCTGATAACGAGTCGGCACAATCCGGGTGGAGAAGCGACCTGAATGAGGTCTGGATTGTGCACGAGCAGGACCCTCTTCAGGAAATGGAGACTCTGACATTCGTCGTAAATCTTGCTCGACTTCCTGTCGCAATTCCAAAGGCAGTGTCTCGAGAACTTGTCTGTCCGCTTCTACCGGCTTGAATCCTAGTGTTTTCTGGTTGACATTGGAAGGCACAGGCCCCGTTGCCGGTTCGAGCTTTTGTATCTGTATTCCGATTCCTCGCAGTTCTCGAGGATCGAAATGATAAGATTGAATGACTCTCCAAGCGTGCTCTCCGATAACCATGCGATCATTGGTCGCTCGACCCGTAGAAGACGCCAGCGGCACTTGCTTGTTGAAGACTTGGCATACGCCATGGCCCATGAACTTGGGTGCTTCGACTGGGGCTGCAGGGTCTCGTTTCATCAGCTTGATATTGACGGAGCGTCCGAGCATCTGAATATCGTTCAACCTTTCTTCGACTTTCTCTGCCATGCTGTATACGAATTTGCGAGCGGCTGCGCTGTCTTCAAATCTGATTCCATACTAGATCGCATCAGCTCACTGGTGTCAGCGGAATGCAAGATGGTCTTACATTGATCTCCACGGACACAGATTTGCGTTGCTTGTCGGACCGCAACGGCGTATCATCGATCCCGCGAATGGTGTTGTAAAGGCGTTCACCAGTTTTCTTTCCCAATGCTTCACACAGTGTGGCCTGACTCCTGTTCGCCAGGTCGATAAGAGCGGCACTGCCGAACTTTTCGAGGGCTTTATCCCGTTGCGAGCGTGCAAATCCCCAGATGTCTGTTATTTGAAGGGTGGCCATGAGCTCTGGAACATCTGTTGCCTTCACGTGCTTCGAGCCGGCGGGTTTGGCTTGACGAGTGGCCAGACGCGCGAGTAGAATGTTGTGTGAGATGCCAATGCTGACTGTAGAACGATTAGATGGTCCGCTACACAAGATTGGTGACAGGATAGTCACCTTCGCATCCCGTCGCTTCTTTGACTTGAGCGCGCAGGTTATCTGCGAACTCTTTGGCAGGGTCATCGGACAGGCTCGTTTTCTGGAGTCGCCGCACAAATGTCGTGACTTCTATCAAGGCCTCATCTATTGAGACAGCCTCAACGTCGTCTGCTCTCGACATGAGCACCGTATAGAATTTCAGAGAGATGGATTTGTATCTGCAACGAAAGATCAGAAGACAAAGACAGAATATACCAAGCTCCAGCACACCTCTCGAATTCGTAAGGCATGGTCTGCACACCAGGACAAAGCTTCTGAGCCTGCTGTAGACTGCGTGCTTGTGAGAAATGATATATTGGTTGATGAATACGTACCTCATTCCGTTTTTTATACCAAAATCTCGCGCCTCATAACTGGCCGAGGCAATCTCACTAGTACTGTTACCACCACCCTGTCCGCCTTGCGAATGACATACAACCACCGGCTTTCCACGCAGTTCGGGGTGAGCAAGTAATCCGGCAGACACAAAGAAACAGTCGAAGTCACAGTGCATGATGACCCTGTCTTCCCCGGCTCTGACTTTCCCCTTGACGGGCGACGGCATGCCCTTGATTTCTATTGCATCCTGATTGCCGGTTTTGTTGCTCTCTGCTCGATTTTGCGCTTCCCGAACTAGTTGCACGAGCTCGGCCTTGGTCGCCGACAGAAAGTGGAGTCGCGAATGCTCAAAATAACCCTGTATAAAATCGGGTGCAGCAGATGTGTGAGCCGCACGCCAGGATGAATCGGCCATAGCGCGTTTTGCGTTTGGATTTGAGCCAACTGCTGCATACCGCGGAAGCTCGCTCTGATTAGACAGAGCAGCTTGCGCATGTAGACTGGGCGTGCTCGACACTGTGTGGCGTGCCGCCGAGGTCGGTCCGAGGAACATAAAATCCCTCCATGAGAGAAGCGTCCCCGCTTTGACGCTCTCTATAAGCCATTCAGGTCGTACGATCTTCATATTCTTGAAGTCCCGTCGTTTAGCTTCCGTTAGAGTACATGTAATAATGTGCGTTCTGGAGGGAGGTCAGGAACGCGAAGAGAATACATTGAACTAGACGCACACAAGTGATTTCTTATCGAGGTACGGCTGAAAGATGCCTCCGTGGTCCATAATTAACTGTTTCAGCTCCTGTACGGAAGGTGAAGTCCATCCATTTACCTGCAAATCCGAGCGTTAGACACTGCAATCCTGGTGAGTGTGACCATAGACTGTACACACATGGATAGCAACACCCTTGAATATCCCACTTTTTGCAGCCCCACTTTCCGAGTTTTGGATTTGGAGCTTGGCCCGCTTGCGGTGCATGTATTCTCCAAATCCCCCGAAATGCGCCTCTCCGTAGACCTCCTCATCCACCGGGTCGAGCAATTCGTGCCGCCGCTTCAGCGGTCTGGCCATCTGTGCCGGAGGCGGAGGCTCCAAGTCCGATTCAGAGTCGGAGTTTCCCATCTGGGCTGGTGCGGTGACTGAGACGACATCGCCGGGAAGCGCGATGTGGTTGAGTGCGGCGAGGAATTCGGGATCATCGTCTTCGAAGTAGTCGGAAGAGGTACTTCCCGCAGAGGCGCGTGGTGCTGCCAGCTTAAGTTGTTCGATGTATGGTATGGTCGAAAGGAGCAAGGGTTGAAGGCTAGTCAATGTGACGGTCAGGAGCAAGTCATCATCCCAGATCATTGATCATTAGTTGTAATGTGTTGACGCGACGCGCCAGCGGTTGTTTCCGACCGCAGTGACGTGCTTTCGTGACTGCAATCCGGACCGCCCTGCGCCGGGTGCGCGCTGTTCCCACTGCCGATCATCAATCACTCACGCGGGAAACTAAGCCCGGCGCTGGTGTTTCTTCCCCGCCGACTCGGAACCCACTTTTCCTGTGGACCCCATCTGAATATCCATCCAGCCTGCTCACTTTTGTCACTCTTTATACCACAGAAACCGAGATCGGGCTATCGTCCTCTCAGCTTCCCTTTCGCTCCTCTTGCTCGCTGAACCGACTAAGTTCATCGGTCGACAAAGGCACATCGCCTAGGATTCTCATCCCATTTTTCTATTACCAGGCCGCCAGCGAGCAAACGACACGCGCACAAGAGTTTCCTGCTCTTCATATCTCTCAGCAAAGCCCTCGCACGACGCGACAAGATAACAGATCCCCACAAATCAGACATGATGCGCGAAGACCACGACCCGTTCTCCACGCCCGTCTCTCACCCCATGACGCCCTACTCCGACGGCCCAAGTACCCCGCCCTTCCAAACCCCCGCCCTGTATGGACCCCCGCTGTCTCAGCAGCAGCAGCAGTACCCGCCCCTGCAACCCCCCTTCGTGTCGCTCGCGCCGTCATACGGCAGCAGCCGGGACTCCCAGGACGATCCGGCGCGGCACCACGCATCCCCGAGCCCCCTCGCCAGTGGCATGGTCGGCCTCCTCCCTGCCGGTGCACCAGCGATGGGCGGCGGTGGGTACGGCGGGAAGCCAGGCACGTACCACCCAGGCGTTCGCTCCCGTGCCGCTGCGCGCAAGAAGCACCGGCTCATCGGGGCGGGAGCCGTCGCGGTCCTCGCCGTGATCGTGCTTGTTGTGGTCATCCCTGTGTACTTCGCGGTCATCAAGAAACACCAGGATGCGAAGCACAGCGGCGGCTCTGGCAGTGGCGGTGGCGGAGACAGTGGCGGCAGCAGCGGTTCTAGCCCTGGGAAGGGGAACGTCGCTGTAACTGTCACGGGAGGAGACGGGAGTACCGTTGTGATGGACGATGGGTCCACATTTGTGTATTCGAATTCATTTGGCGGAGTTTGTGGGTTTTTCTCTGGCTGATTTGGTGATTGAGTAGCTCATGAATATATGCAGGGATGGCAGATCCGACGGGCGCTAACCCGTTCCTGAGCGGGGCCAAGCCTAATGCATGGACACCCGCGATTAACGAGACCTGGACGTGGGGTAAGGACAAGATTTATGGGGTCAATCTCGGCGGATGGTTTATCTTGGAGCCTTGTGAGGATTCATCCGATTGGCTTGGCTTGTCTATGACTCACATCTGACCACCCGTGATAGTCATCACCCCGGCGCTGTTCCAAGCTTACCCAGCCGCCTCAGATGAATGGACGCTGTCAGCCTTGTGGCGGGCTGCTGTCGGTGACCAGGCGTTCTCCGCTGCCATGGAGGACCATTATGCCAACTTTATTGTGAGACGCTATCCTTATACAGTCAAAGATACTCAACCATTCCTACCAGACGGAAGCGGATTTCGCACAGATCGCAGGCGCGGGATTGAATTGGGTTAGAATTCCGATCCCGTTCTGGGCTATCGGGTACGTTTTTTAGTGTTGGCATTTGAATGTACTGAGGGTTGCACAGCGTCTGGTCTGACATTGGGACGGACGGTACCCATCAAGTAGCAGAGCCCTTTTTGGAAACCGTCTGCTGGAAGTGAGTGGACGGTTTGACCAGTTGCGAGATACTCAAGCAGATCAGATATATCGTGCGGGCTCTGGGATGGGCCCGGAAGTACGGGATCCGCGTTAATCTTGATCTTCACACTGCACCAGGGTCGCAGAATGGTGTGTTCACAAGATCCGCCCGGCCGGATGGTGCTTACTGTGGGTCCAGGATACAATCATTCTGGCAAGGGAGGCCAGGTCAACTTCTTGAATGGGCCGATGGGTGTGGCCAACGCCGAGCGGATGCTTGACTATATTCGCATCATCGTCGAGTTCATCAGTCAGCCTGAATGGGCAGATTTGATCCCCATGTTTGGAATTGTGAACGAGGCGCTGCTGAGCACGATCGGCAAAAGTCAAATCACGAGCTTCTACCTGCAGGCACACAACATGATCCGGGGCATCACAGGGATTGGGGAAGGTCACGGGCCGTATATCAGCATCCACGACGGATTCATTGGCGTGTCCAACTGGGGCGGGTTTCTGCCAGGGTCGGACCGGATCATCATGGACACGCACCCCTATTTTGCGTTTGACCAGCAGCCGAACGATTCGCCGATCGCCACGAGCGACCAAGTGGGTGTCCTTGCGGGTGGAATCTGGCCGAAACAGGCGTGCAGTGCCTGGGGACCCGGCATCAACACTAGGTGAGTCTGTGTCCGCAAAGTGTGTTGTGTGGTGCAACTAACGGATCTCCAGTCACGTGGAATTTGGAGTGACTGTGGCGGGTGAATTCAGCAACGGATACAACGACTGTGGGCTGTTCCTGACGGGGGTGAATAACACTGCCCACTATGGCGGAGACTGCGCGTTGTGGGAAGACTCACAGAACTGGAATGCGAGTGTCAAAGCAGGTCTGCATGAATATGCGCTCGCGAGCATGGATGCGATGCAGAACTGGTTCTTCTGGACATGGAAGGTCGGTTATGCAACATAAATCAGGTATCGAATGCGGAACTGACGGGAGTCAGATTGGCAATGCGACGGACGGTGTCGTGCGTGCTCCCTTGTGGTCGTACCAGCTCGGTCTCGAAGGCGGGTGGATGCCCACGGATCCGCGCACCTCGATTGGAACATGCGCATCGCTAAACGTGGTCGGGCCGGTGTTCAATGGCACTTACAGCGCGTGGCAGACCGGTGGACTGGGAGCAGGCACCATCGATCCGACTGCCATCGCGTCATTCGGCCAGTGGCCGCCCGCGACGATCTCTCACGTGGCCGCGCCAGTCACGCTTCTGCCGACGTACACCGCCACCGCCACTGTGCGCAGCCTGACGTTCGTGACCCCGACGCCAACGTCAACCGCGACCGGGACCGGCGCTGTGACACGGGTCGCGCCGACAGTGAGTATCGGTAGCGGGTGGTTCAACTCTGCGGGCTCGTCGGCGGCGGTGACTGCCGTGGCGGGATGTGTGTACTACGATGCGTGGAGTGCTTTGAACTCGCCGGCCCCAACGGCTGTTTGTACGGGGGCTTAATATGCTTCGTGTACCTTTGGGCATTGGGTTCTGTATCTGTTCGGGTTTGTGTGGACATCATACCATATATTACTTATACTGTTATATACACTGTTATCACCTAGCTTGCTATCCTCATCCCTATTGTACGTGTGCGTGTGTTCTATTCGCGCAGCATTGGGGCTACTCGCAATCTCTCAGGAGATGAAAGACATACGCACAGCAGCTCGAATGAGACTTTCGGGCGCGAGCATGACCCGTGCACGGATACCATTCTGGAACGACTGGATCGTATATAAGGGCCTGCACGAAAAAAGAGACGATTCCCCAGCAACAGATATCCAGATGACCGACGTCTCCGAGTACACTCCCAACGAGCGCGCGTTCCGCATCGCCATCCTCATGAAGAAGCGGGACGACCACACCAAGGAGCAGTTTATGCAGTACTGGATCGAGACCCACGCGCCACTGTTCCGGTCACTCGACATCTGCAAGACGAACCTCATCAAGTACGAGCAGGCGAGTGCAACAACAGCATCCTTCCGTTTGTATTGTGCCGCATTTCTCATCGGGACTGAGCGCTGAGCAGTGCCACACCAACGTCTTCGCGCTGAACCAGATCGTCGAGTCGAAGCTGGGCTCGCTGTGTGACCAGGACGCCCAGAGCGAGTGGGACGGCATGGCCATCTTCGAGGGAGAGAGCTTTGCTAAGCTCTTCGAGGTCAGAGGCTCCCTGACCTGGAGATCGTCATCCCACTGAACAGATGCCTCACTTAGATCCTCATGCACGACGACTTCGAGAATATCATCGTGGCCGACGCGCTCACGTTCACCGCAGCCTTCCGCGTCATTCCCTTCGACGTGCTCAACATCGTCGACATGTAGGACGCGTGTAGCCAGTCATGACCAGTCATTCGCAAGTTACCGGTTACATAGTTTGTCCTATATCCACCCCTGTCCGTAGAGTCTCCTTGGCAAGCCCAGCCGCCCATCGCACGAGCGGCGTCGCGGCGTCGTCGATCTCCGCGTCGTCCGCCACGCGACGGAAAGCTTCTGTGAGGAAGTACACGAGACCCATCGCAAGCGTTTCGATGCGGCTCGCTTTGAGGAATATCTCCTCGACCGGCGCGCGGTTCCGCGACATGGGGATCCCAGCGGCGGAGAGCACCGGCGTGACCGACTGGCTGCAGATGAAGACCTGCACGACGAGCTCTTTCAGGAACTTGAACGACTGCGGTTTGAGGGTGGTAAAGTCGACGGGCTGGAAAACATGAGTCGAGGGTCTAGAGAGGGGCGGCGACCCCCTTGCCTTCAGGATAGTCAACGACACGCTGTCCCTAGCTATCCACCACCCATACGCCTGAGCCACGTTCCTCAGCCTCGTCTGCGAGATGGATTTGAGGCCAAAGCCGTCTTCGTCCTCCTTGAGGTTCTTGATCACGGCTTGGCCGCCAACACTGGACTCTCCCAGATCGCGCAGAAAGTCCCACAAACAGAACTGGAGTGTGATTTTGTACGAGTGGGACGAGCGGCAGAGGTGCTGGCAGACAAGCGCGTAGTATGGGTTGTAGGTCTTCTCCTGAGACAACGTCAGTCGCGCGCTCGATCAATAGCGCTTCGCAACGCACATTTCCGCAACAGTGCAATAGCACGCGCACAATCTCACGCTGCTGCACCTCGGTCAGGTTGAGTTGAGAGAGGCGGTCACAAGCATCGACGTAGTCCTGCGCATGTCGAGGCTTAGCGCGACGAAAAAAGAAGCTAGTTCGTAAACCACGTACGTCGGAGCTCATCAGCACGATAAAGATGCTGCGTCGAATGGCAGTGTTCATGCCCTGTTTGCGGGCCAGCTTGACGAGCGAGCTGTCCCCGCCGTCCGTGTCCGCCGTGACAGCGACGGCAGGGGTGGCTTGCTGCTGTCTATCGACCAGGGGATCGCCGCCCCAAGCGGCGCCGACGAGCCACCACTTTCCCTTGGTCTCTGCGGCGTGGAGGTCCTGCAGACTGACGCGCAGAGGCTCGTGCGCTACCACATGCCGCGTCTTTCCCAGTCCAGTCAGGAACTTTTTCATGCGCTCGACCGCGTCGCCACCCTGATTTTGCGTGACGTTCCGCTTCAACTTGTTGTTCTTCAGATTGGTCAGCGTCTCGACCATGAATCTTGTGCGAGAGCTGCGGGGTCATCAGCATCCAACGGGGGCATGTTCAGGGGCTGGCGAGATCACCTCAAAATTTCGTCACCATCCGAGATGGTGTTTTGGACGATCTGGATGATGTCCTTCAGCGCGGATGGATCGTCTTGCCGTAGCTGCTGCCCAGAGTCTGCGACAAGTCAGGAGCAGCTCCTTGGAACAATCCCAGTGAGAAACGCACTACGAACGATCTTGAGCAACAACTCCACATTGAACTCGGACAATTCGCCGTCCAGGAGGCCGCGGATAAGATCATATACGAGCACACAGGACACAACCTGAAAGTTATAGAGCTCAGAGAGGAGCACGATCAAGTTGGAGCACTCTTTCCCCCTCGTCGACTCTTGGTTTACGTCCACCGGCTCGCCATCGAGCTCTGAGCGGTGTCTTTCGTACTCGGACACGACGTGTTGCACGAAGTAGGCCGCTAGACCCGGATGCTTTAGTGCCAGGTTCATGTCGGGCGTGTGCGGCTCGCAATCTCACCAAATTCAATGCCCACGATCTTATGGAGACTGGATACAAATGCCGCGTAAAGCACGACAAAGGAATCCAAAAGAGAGGAATGCGAAGCGATGCTGTTGATGATTAACGTGGTCAACGTGGATGTTACATCTGGACGAGGATTCAAGAAACATATTGGTCAACACTGTATCACGTACCGTTGCGCCGATTCTTGCGGTAGGCCTCCTCAATGCTATCCAAGATAGAAGCAATGTTTTGTTCTGTCATTCTGGGAAATCATCAGAGGCAAACGAGGGGAGAGCGTGCGATGTACCTGTTCAGGAAACCTTTCAGTTGTCTATTCAGCTTCAAGAGGGCCTCCGAGTCTTCTCCCCCTTTTGCTGGTTTCGAAGATGAGGAGGAACATAAGCCGTCCCTGCGGAGAATGTAAATCTTAAGCGAAGGTAGATAGATGCTCGTCATACGACTGACCTGGTGTCGATTGTGACGTTATTGGCTTTGTAGTTTCTTCCTCTTCGTCAGCCTGGATACCTGTCCACTCCTCCTCATCATCATCATCGAGATCCTCTTCACTGCTAGCTTCTTCGTCTGATACGCCCACTTCCTTGCTTTCGTCTTCCTGATCGTCCATTTCGAAGTCTTCTTCTCCTACAGACCCCGACTCCTCTCCCGCACTGGCCAAGCCGTCGCCGGTCTACAGCCGAGCACGGATGATCAACAACTCGGTCAATGCGGGAACAGAAGTCGCTCACCCGTCCGATCCCCTCCAGGGAAGTCGTAAAGTCGAACAAGTCTGCAATTAATCAAGCCACCATTGAGCAGTCAGAGTCAAGACGACACACCGTCAAGGCCGTCCCCCTCGCTTTTGCCTTTACCTTTGGAGTACCCAAGCTTGCCTTCCAGGTAGGCGATGTACGCGTCCTCTTCCTCTTCCCTCTGCGTCCGAGGAATCCGGAGGGATGGACCGGATCCCGCCCGTCCAACCAGCTTTTCGAGAGCCGTCTGCTTCGGCTTGGCCTTCGGGGCAGGAAGCCCCGGACCAGTCTTCGCGGAAGCACCAGCCGTTTTCGCTACCGATGCGTTTGTGACTTTCGCCGGGGCAGGAGTCAGCACCGGAGTCGCCGTCGGTGCACCGAGCTTGACCTTCTTGCGCTGAGGCGAATCGGTGTGCTCTTCCTCGGCTACGCGTTTCGCGCTTTGAGGCGCGGCGAAGAAATGCGCCTTGCGTTGTTTTGTATCGAGACGCTCCTGCTTTCTTAGCGCTTTTCGGGAGATCTGAGAAGAAGTCTGTACAGCAGTCGATGGACTCCGACCGAACGCGTCCTTACCTTCCCGCTGCCGGCCGTCTGCTTTCTGTGCCGCATCCCATTGGAATCGGACCCTTGCAGATAATGTCAGTAGCGTCAAGTGAATCGCACTCTTGGTGCATACCCTCCCGGATCTGTTCGGCAAGAGCCTGCGGTAATCGTGTTGTGGAGGTCTTCTTGAGGTTTCGCATAATTTTTGGCTTGACGGGAACGGTGATGGGCAAGCAGCTACAAGCAATCTTACTCCTGATTTCCGGGAGAGGCAATTCATCGACGGACGCACCAAGAAAAATGAAAGCATCATGTTAGGATTTCCCGTTTACATCTCTCCCGGACGTGGACAGCTCCAGAAGTACGGTCCAAGTCAAATCTCACAGGGACGGATTCTCGGGCAGGGCTGCAATCAAAAAAGAATTGGAGGAAAAGAAGATAGCAGCAACTCGTTTCGATCGAGTGACCTCGGGGTTATGGGCCCCGCGCGCTCCCAGACTGCGCCATGCTGCTGTGTTAGGTGACTGAGAATTTAACCATATCAACATTTCTTTTTGCTGTGATCTGGCTGAAATTTATCTCGACCGTCGCTGTTACGTGCACGAAGCATGTTTATGCCAGCAGTCTTGATAATTAGCAATGTGGTATAATACTGTTACAAGTGTCCGATGTGGTCCATTTTGAATGATGATGAGTAATAGTCTGGAATTCTCTACATAGTCTAGACGGTCATTTGAGATGCATGGTTCGTTAGTCGGGAGATAGTACTACGTTTGCTCGCGAATGTCTTGATTAGTCTTCAAGCCATTAGTCAATGCAATTCAGGACTGGAGATGACAGGTCACGTACCTGAGGTATAGTCTGTCTCCTGCACACTTTTCCCGGACGATCTGCCACTGCCTATACGGGCCTGTGACTCCGCGCAGACAGTTGACAAGGATCCTCTGCCCCTCCAGGGTTCCATCGGCTTCGAGAATCCATTCGCCCTGCCAGCCCTGTCCCATCTCGTCATCCTGAGCTACTCGGCGCCAAACACGTGCAGTCCATGCAGACTTCTTCACGAGAGCATAGCCTAGCGGCGAATGGGGGCTGCGGACCTTCGCTGAGACGGTGACTAATGTCAGCTGAGGGATATCGTCGCATGCCGGAAACCCTCGAACGGTGAACAGGGGATCCGAGAGTGGCGGAATAATGTGAATGAAGTAGAACGGTGACGGAAGCATCGTAGGATCGCTCAGAGGGAGTGATTCTGGAGGACTATATGGGACAAGCCTGCGGCCATCGAATAGGAGCCATGTACTTCGAGAAACAATTTCTCTCGTCGCATCCGGCAAACTGCCGTCAGACACATCAGGACTCGCGGGAGGAACGTAGCCAAAGTTGCAGACGATGTCCCCGAGCGACAGATAGGGCCAGAGCCCAGCGTCATAGAGCTGATCCTCGCACTGGGCAATCGATCCTTCCTCGTCGTCCCGCTCCATTTCGGTGCACGGCACAAACACACGCAAAATAGGGGCACGGGTTCGTTGTGTGGCCAAACTTAGGTCGTGTGTTGACACGTCGCGTCGGATAGGCGACGATTCAACGGTCGAATCGCGTGAAAAGGGAGGAGAGGGGCTCGAGAGTGACGAAGAGCCGCTTGAAAGGTTAACCGAAGCCAGTCGCCGGTGGGCCCGTTCAAGTGGTTTCTTTCGTCCCCATTCGTCGTCCGAGAATGAGCCGGAGGCCCGCTGCAGCGCATGCCGCCAACCAGAGGTGTAGTGCCTCAGCGAGCGGGGCTCGGATGCCGGAGGCGGAGGAGCCTTTGAGCCTGTTCGAAAGATGGACAACCTGTTCGCAGGGCGAGAGAGACTACGTGTAACCAGCGAGGTGGTGTCCGATCGAACCGAGTCGGAGCTTTTGCGGGATCCGACGGAATTCTTTCGACCCCGGGACACCGGCGATGGTTCTGAGGCAGAGTTATGGGACAAGGGGGGCGGAAAGTTGAGCTGTCGCAATCTCGGTTCGGGCCGGAGTCTAAGCGTGAGTTCATGTTGCTCGGGGGTGGAGACAAGATCGAACTGTGCGCCAGCGACTGGAGTAGAAGCACGAAGCGGGTATGGACCAGCGCAAATGTCGTCAACTTCCGTGTTTCCTCCCGCTCAAGATCATCGACGTTGGGCAAGAGTCCGGAGACACATGTCAGGGCATGCATCGGAAACCGGTGCAGAGGCACTGCTCGAGAGATCACTGTCCACTTATCAGATCAATCCATCAGACAGAATGGGCGCGCACTGAGGGTATTCAATTCCGTCAACGCGATCGGCACCTTCGTCAACCGACGCGGGTCAGACACGCGCAAACATGCAGCGTAGTCAGGAACGAAGCGGGACAAGATCACGTCCCTGAGTTCAGGGCAATAGATGAAGTCCCGAATGTCGCGACATGTGTTGAAAAGAGCCCATGCAGTGGCCCAGCTAGAACACGCCAGAAGCATCGCCAGAACTCGGGGCTGTTTCGCCGCTCGGAGAAACGGAGGATGCCGGGGGTTCGCCGCGAGCGAAGAGAGGGTTCGCGTCCTCTGGCGAATGGGTGGAATGGGCCCGAGGATTTAGCGCGAGGACGTGCTGTATGTTCAGCATGGGAGGAACGATGATCCAGTGGCGTCAATCGGTGGGGCAAAACTGGTGCCGTACTCCGTAGCGTTGAAACCATGTCGGTCGCGTCGTTCCGAGGGTGGGAAGAGAGCTGGGGGATGAGAAGGGAGTTCGACCGCCATCGCCTCTTGAAATGGCGGGGCTGGTGTACCAATCGAGTGGAGTGTCGTAATGGGGAATAGGACCAGAAGAGGAGTGCAGAAAGCTTGAATGCAGTGTAGGTTGAGCTAGGAGGTGGAAGCATTGGACACATTTCCTCGGCTGGCTCCAGGTGGGCTGGTAAGAGGCAGGTCGGTAAAAAGGGCCGCATAGATCTGCGTGTTTTCGTGTGCGAGCATTACGCGATCATTGATGTCATCCGTGAGATGAAACTGTCCGGCGAGACCCGGCCCGCTCAGCCATGGAAAACACAGGCGACACGAGGTGGACTTGGAACGTTGATCGCCTGCGGACTTTGACAAAATGTTCACGGGATGAAGGACTCGTCGACATCGGTCTCCTTTAAAACTTCAAGCTTCAAACTTCAAATGCTGCTCGGCGTTCCCTTCACTGGAATGGACAATCCACCGACTAAGTCTGCTGAACTGGAAGTGAGCCTTCGATATGGAGACGACAGACTCACGCATGTGCATCTGTGGTTCCCCGCTTAGAGAGTTGACTAAGCCGCACTCCAAGGCACTCTGTCAAACGGCAAACCTGTTCAGCGCGAATGATTCTGAACGATGAGGAGGAACATCAAGTGACGATGCTGACCTGCGCGTGACATTGCTGTCACAACGCAAAGCACCGTTTAGCCCACGAACGCACATTTGGAGTACTGTCATTTACAATGGCAACCGTCCCAAACGAGGTTCGTTCGCTCTCCGCTGCTTCCCATATCTCACACCTTGGCTCATCACTACCAGCATCTTGCAAGAGCAATCTTTGGTGGCTCGGACTCCGAGTTGTCTGATGAAGAGCAAGGTGATATTTCTAAAGGACTTTCGGAGCCACACATTGCTAACGTACCCCAAGATAATCAGAGACAGCAACGCCGGAAATCGCCTTCCCAGCGCAAATACGACTATGGGTCGTCTGCGGACTCGGAAGATGATGCTGAGGAAA